CCATTTTTTGTCCTTTTGAAGTGAACTATACCTGCCAATTCATAGGGAAACCATAATTTATATAATATGGTACCCTTGTGGCTGCTGGCGTATCCTGGCAGCCTTGATATTGCTCAGTCATTAGTTACATACGTAATCATTCCTTGTGTCAAATTGACAACTTTTCTGCTTAATTTAGGACTCACATTGATGCCAAATCGAAATCTCAAATTTATTCGCGTTGGTCTACCGTTTTTTACGATTGTTCTTGGTGGTGCTTACGGTCTGCACTACTTTCAACAAGTTCGATTCGATTTTCGTAAGCTCAAGCAGCAGGACGCCAATTTAGAGCATCTGGTTCGTTCTCTGGTCTTGCGGTTCAGTCACTGTATGTAAATATTTCTGTCATCACACCATCTATATCGCTCATTTCTCTAATGTTGTGTACCGCATGTCCAAGCAATGTAAATCAATTGGGGAAGATTTTCGACTTTAGATTAATTTTCCAGAGAAGTGACTTGGAAAAAAGCGGCCTGCGTCTTCGCAAAAACGTTACCTTAGACACTGTTTACAAGGTGGGCCTGTTTATCGCTGTTTCATTTTTGCAATTTTTGTAAAACAGTCAGTTCAGGAGGTGGCGAATCTTGACACAGAAAACTGGGAGAATATTCGAGGACCTCGCGAATTTGAAGATAATTCCGAATACCAGCAAATCAAGTACGTAGAGCAGAGTCGGGATAGGAAAACAGCTCATGTAGCCCCTATGCATCTTATAGAGCTCGTCAACAAGAGGAAAACAGAAGATTGCGGGAGAAACGTTTGAAACCACTTGATGGCTGAGCAGATACCGGAAGATCATCTTCCTAGGTTTTGCTTTTTCCATTTCTCAGCTTTCGTTTTAAAAGTATGATCGGCTAACCTGGTTAATTCCTCTTCAAATTTTTTGAAGTTTTCAAAACGTATAGAACTTCCAGAGCTCCTTCTAACGCTAATCTTGAGGTTGGGGATAATCCTCCTGAACCAGATAACGCCTCCATCCGTGCCGAAAGAGGTGAGGGGTCAATGTTTTTAACTGCATCGTTGCAATCAATTCTTGGTGGTGATGCCTTTATAGGGTATCCAAAGTTGAGATCATGAGAACGTTCCAGTCTTGTTTTATGCTTGTTTTGGTCGACTCAATTTTCCAACTTATAGTTCATATCCTGATTTTATCAATTAGTTCTATCCTGATTAGGTTCGCCAACCCCGTCCTCTGTCACGGTTGATAATCTTCCAAGCCTACCAGATCCAGTTCATCATAGTACTGTTTCTGATCCATTTGGATTGGGAGAACTTCCTGAGGTTGTTAGTGTGGTGAACTCATATATTCATAATGTGCTTATGTCAGCTATTTTT